TGGAGAGCCATGATCACCCAAAGAACAAGGCACAGAGAAGGAGGAGATCAAGTGGGTGTTGAGTCTGGCACAAGGCTACACATACATGACTAGAGTTAGTAATGCATTCAGTAATGTTCTGCGAGAATAGCTTGCTAGCAATTACAAGTTACCCAAAATATCGTAAATAATTACAAAATTCACTTTTAAAATGTCATAATCTAAAATATCTTTGATGGATTATGAGGAAGAACTTTTTATTTTTGTTTTCCCTATAAATAGTCGTATTTTGTGATGATCGTGAAACCTCTGCCGACGTTCAGCATTCAGAAATAACTAAAGCATTTGCAACCATAAACGTTTTGACTTTTATCTCACTGATGCAATCTAAGGAAGCCAAAGAAAGTCAGCCTTAGATATGACAGACTGGAATGTTTTTCTTTTGATTGGAAGAAGCTATATCTTGTAATATGTTATCGAATTCCTCAAGTGGGCTTATGGTCAAATCCCTTTGAAAGCAGTGTTTCTTGTTTGATCTTCGAGGGTAAGTCGCGTCGAACCTAATCAGTACTTAGTTGGATGATTTCTTAACAGTGAAGTGATATTTTTATCTCGTGAGGAGACATTAATGCCACCCGATATGTTTTTAACAAAATGGTGCAGAACGAAAGCTAAATTCAAGTCAGGCTAATGTTTTACAAAAGAAATGTATATTCTATAGGAAAACTAACAAATATTTGATTGTGGAAAAGTACGCCTTCCCGTAACCAGAGTCCATGTGTGTACATTACTTACATGGCTAACTCTAGAGAGTGCTCTAGGAGAATGAAAAGAAAGATATGATTTCTCATGATAACATAAGTTTATATAGACAGAGGTCGGTTGCTGCTCATATTACTGTACATTTTTCTCCATTTATCTGTGTCCTAGCGTGTTAATCACTGCAACAACATCGAGGGTATTATCTGCCACTTGAGGCTTTGTATCTGACTCAGGAAAATTGGCAAGTTGCGTGAATACTTCGAATGAGTGTTTATCGTGTTTCTTGTTTTCGACATTAGGTTTCGTTTGGTTTATGCTTCGGTATTTTCGGCGATAAGGCATTGTTATTATTTCATATATTATTCGGATTATTATCATCATCATCATCATCATCGCTTTTTATTTGACACAGTACTATGGCAGATATGTTCTTCAGGTGTATTACGCATTTAGTAATGTTTTAATTACGTCTGGCCTTTGGTCAAATTCACGCCTCTATCTTAATTAGAGAACTTCAGGAATCCAAACTTCAAAGACCCGTGTTTGAATTGCAACATTGGAAGATATTCAAAGATGACCAGAGGCAAGAAACACTTGAAAATAACAGGATAAATTATCAGTAAAAAACAATAAAAAAAGTAAGATATTTTATGGAGTAAAGACAATACGCCTCAGAATTTCAGACAACACTAGAAATAATTTTATTTATTTATTAATCTTGTCATTGCAATGCACAATGAAATTGGACAGCGGTCCCCAGGTGCACCAATATGTGTGTGTATGTGTGTTTATGTGCCTGTACACTGAGAAACACTCACATAAACTGTTGTGAAAGGGTTACTTAATGAGGAATAACCAAAACAAAGGTTGGAAAGAAAATGGTGATCTTTATAACATCAACAAAATACAATACTCGCCAGCGGCGGGATGTAGGTAAACCACTGCTAATGGCGGACTACTTAGAAAAGCATATTACCCTCACTTATAATTATGTCCAACGTATTTATGAGGATTGGGACACACCCATTAGTGTTCATAGGTACATAGGTATATAACATACACCATAGATGACAACAAACAACATTGAATGAATAAATGTAAGGACGTTTAAAATACGTTTTAAATTCTCAGCGTGCGGCAAAGTTCGTTTTATGTAAGGCTCAAGGATAAAAGCTCTCGCTGAAGCACATCGTCCTAGAACTAAGAGATCTAAAGCATTGGCGTGAGCGAAACAGATCAAACACGTGGTGACCGGGATGCGGACTGTCGTTTATTATATGTTCTGCTCTGCTACGACACCGAGAAATAGAATTATCCCCTAAGCAGGGCAGCGAGAAACGGATTATTTTCTGCGCAACATCTATAAGCCCCTTATCCGCTGCCCAGTACCTAACATACCTGTTATGGTCCGGTTCCTTGTACCACGGTGACAGTCCAAGTTAGAACCAATAAAGAAGAACTCGAACACGGGTATGGAATGACACAGATATATTACTGTTGAAACTTGACTAATGCATGGAATAATAATGCAACACAAAATGTACTTAGAACAAAATGTATTGAAACAAGAAAGTGTACACAATATTTACATATAGTCTTTTGTATATTCCTGGTAAGACCGTTCCTGGAGAATGTGTTGACTGAGTCGCAGTCGGACAGAGTCTCTGGTTGAATCTCTTGATTCCTCCCTCTCTTCCCGGTACCAACCATATTTATATGGTCGGTACTCCACTATGCAAATTAGGTGGATCCTACCACAACAATTACAAACAGGAAAATATACAGAGAAGTAGAAGTGTTAGTATGAACAATCAGGTTTAGTAGAGAGAACAATGTAGTCTCGACCAGTATCACTATTCCAATGTTTTTCTGACTCGACTCTTGACTCGACTTGAACTACTGACCTGACCTACTCCTGAGGCGCAGTATTTATTAAGTATGGAATAGTCCATTATTATTATTATAGGTAAGATCCTATGACAATACCAAACAGTGATGCCGTACGCAAGCACACTCTTATGCATGACAGCTGCTCCTCAGTGGACAGGACGACGCTATCGTTTATAATCTTTAACGTTGCATTTAAAATAACTAAGATGATGCCATTATGGCTAGAAAATGTGTCGGCTAGCTCAAAATGGCAAACTTTATCGTACTGCCCGGAACTGTGTGAGGGTGGTTTAAACCCCTTTGGTGTGGTGTCCTGATAGTGATTCTCTGTCTTTGTTTAAGTTTTAAGACCGAAAAATGCACAGATACAATCGTGTTACAACAATAGAAAAGTGAGGACGCCTCACTGCTCCCATATTCCTTGGCGTGTTGTATCAGGTCATCCCATAAGTTCTGTCCGAATTTTAACTTTTTGTTAAAATGAACGAAATTTAAAGAGTATTTTATAATGTCTAATGGAGCTGAACATCATTTTTATGTTTAGATGCATTTAAACTGATCAAATTTTATTTCAGAGAACAATAAAAACTGTGTTTGATTAAAACCGTGCTAACATAGAAGTACCCAAGAATCATTTGAGGCACATAATGCTTTAGGAGTTCAAGAAAGGAAACTCAGCAGCCGAAGCGGCTAGAAACATTCACTCAGTTTATGGAGAGGAATGTGAATGAAAGAACTTGCAGAAGATGGTTTGCAAAAATTCAGAGGTGGAGATTTCACCCTTGAAGATGAAGATCGAACCGGACGTCCAGTTGAGTTTGATGAAAAGCTTCTTGAAGCAGCCCTTGAAGAAAATCCTGCTTTATCAGTTGAGGAATTGGCAGTGGTTCTCAGTTCAAACTATACAACTGTTCATCGTCATCTTCAACAACTTGGAAAAGTTCCTAAACTTGGAAAATGGTGCCTCATGAATTGTCTGAAAACAACCTCGAATTCCGAGTTGACATCTGCTCTTCTCTCCATTCTCGCTACCTTTTTTTTAGATAGACTTGTGACTGGCCACGAAAAATGGATCTTTTATCGAAATGTTAAGCGTCGTAGACAGTGGCTTGGTAAAGGGGAAATACCCTAGCCACAGCCAAGAAGGGAACTTCATGGGTAAAAGGTTCTTCTTTCAATCTGGTGGGATCGCCAAGGAATTCTTACCACCTAATGCAACAATTAATGCTCAAATATACTGTCAGCAATTAGAGCGTTTGAACCAAGCTTTGAGGAAAAAAAGACCTGCTCTAGTGAATCCTAAAGGGGTGATGTTTCATCAGGACAATGCGCGACCACACACAGCAAGAATCATGTCACAAAAGATCGAAGAACTTGGTTGGGAGAAAATTCCTCATCCACCTTATTCTCCCGATCTTGCTCCTTCAGACTACTATTTGTTTCGTAGCTTACAGAATCATTTGGAAGAAACAGCTTTTGTAACACAGGAAGAGGTTAAAACTGACATTTGTGAGTTCTTCGAATCAAAGCCAAAAGAATTTTACAGTAATGGAATTAGTAAGCTTCTTAATAGATGGAAGGATGTCATAGATAATCAGGGAAAATACATTGTTGATTGAATCTGTAATTAAATGTAACATTTGGTCACTTGTTTTCTTTATTCAAAATTCGGACAGAACTTATGGGATGACCTGATAGTGTCAGCAGAAAGGGATATAAGACAACACGTTATGATAGGTAGCTTTCCAACCTGCTGGGTCTGTCCTACCTACATCCTCCCTCTCGTTAAGTCTAAGAAACGATGCTACTACTACTTGCTGCCCATCATTAAATAAAGCGTGTAAAATTATCCGTCGTTCATTCAGTCTGTGATGCAGCGTTGGGGCCTTAGAAATTGCCAATATGCCAGAGACGACACCCAACGCAAGATTAGTCCAAAAGGAACAGCGAATGATAAAAACTCTTCTTAAGAACAATGGCAACACTAGAAAGGCCGGAGAATGCTTCTGAGATGACGTCCTCTGAAGAGAAACTAAGACAATAACAGTTTGGAGAATTCATGGAATATTCTTTTGATGTTATTCTATCTGTTGATGATTTTTTCTTTAAAAGTTTTGCTGATGCTCGAAAATACTAAAACTGTCGTTAAGTTTCCAGAGAAACGGCACAATCGATGGTGAGCATTAGCTAGTTTCTCATATGTCTGTTCTTTGCACACAGACTCCGTTCCAATTCATCCCATCTGCCGGCCATCCCGGAACCCGTTACGTGTATCTATGTTCGCTGGACCAAATCGATTCATGTTAAGGCAAATTCTAACAAGAAAACATTTTTTTGGTTGTTTTTTTTCTGGTCAACACTCGGGAATTTCATTGGCATCCGGACTTGTAAATTGACCGGATGTTATCGCACGCGGGGATGGAGGAGAGAAGGAAGAAGCTGTGGTAACTCAATGGTTTAGAGAAGCTGTACAACAAGAGAAAAACTGTAGACGCGTGTAATAAGGTTCGCAGCAAAATCCTAAACACGATTTAATAATAGAGAAACGAGACAGGGTAGAAAATGCATGAAAAAAAAAAATGGCGTGTTCTGCTTTCGCATTTAATTCTTTTTTTTTTTCATTTGGACAAATTTCAACTCACTCTCTTTCACTTTGCCTTTCTCTCTCTCTCTCTCTCTCTCTCTCTCGTTCTCACAAGCATTCTCTTTATTTCTCTCACTTTCACTCTTCCTTTCTCTCTTTATTTGTCTCTCTTTCACGCTACCTCTCTAGCTCTTACTTTACTTTTTAATTTAATTCTATCTCTATCACTCTGCTTTTCTCTCTCTTACTTCTTTTCTCTCCCTCCCCCTCTCTCTTTTTAATTCATCCTTTCTCTCTCTTTCTCTATCCCTCTTTCTTTTACCCTGTCCTTCTCCTCATTCACTCAACCTTTCTCTTTCTTTCTCTCCTTTCTCCTGTTTCACCCTGTCTTTCTCTCTCTTTCTTTCACTCTCTCTGTGTCTCATGTTCCAATGAATAAGCATGCATGCAAATCAATATTTTTCACTCAGCTAGACTTGGCGCACATTTTCCCTTATTTTGTATTTATCACGCTTCTTTTTATGACATTGTGCCTTACACAGATCGTCAAACACATATCATCACATCGTGATTGTTTTTTTTATTATTATGGGTGGACATTCGTTCGTTTTTTGACTTAATTAATTAGTTAGCACGTACGTTACGACTGCTAATTCACAACACTCACATGAAAATCTTGGTATTTTCAAATCGTTTTATTTGTACCCTCTTACATCTGCAAATAAAGATCTGCATTCATACTTATCATTGTTATGGCAACATTTTGTTAAAGTTGTTAATCACATATAGGGAAATTACTACATAGAATTTATAGTCGTGGAATTTTCAGTGAATAATTTAATCATGAACTTAACAATTATGATTCATCAGAAAATTTAAATAGCAAAAGGGTGAATTTTTCACGGCTACGACTAGCTATTATTATTATTATTATTATTATTTGTGTATGTTATATTTCCTGCTTTGTATCATGTCGAGTCCATTCCAAACTATGGTCCGTAGGCCCTACGGGAAAATTGTCATTTAATTGATTGAACTTTTCTTAGTATAGGGTGACCCCCCCCCCAAAAAAAAAACGGTAACTTTTTAACAACCCAATAAAACCAAGAGTGATGGAAGAAAAATATTTTATTCATAGTAATTGAAACCTTAAAACATGCCATTTAAGAAACAAGGATGGAATTTTTATTTTTGAAAAATTACGTCTTGTAGATGGCGTCCTCCTGTAGGAATGCATTCTTGAAATCTGCTGTTGAGATTCCTGCAACATCCCAGCTGGGATACAGTGAATTTCTTCTTGAATTCTAAATGGCGAAATGTTTACTTGCTCGAGGTAACTGTCTCGCAGTGTTGCCACTTGCTCATGTCTGGCAATACGCATTTCAAAAATTCCTGTTTTTTTTTGGTCACCCTGTATATGGGATGTTCCTAGTAAGGCGATCTCCTGGGCAACTTGTATGTTGATGTTACCTGGGACACTGTTAGTAAAATGGTGGACAGTTTCATCATATTTTCCGCAAATCCTGCATTTCGAGTTAGTTCTATCCTTGATTATGTGACAGTGATAGGATCTGGTTGCAAGGCTTTCATCCTGGGCTGCAATAATTAGGCCTTCTGTCTTAGTTTTCAACCCAGTGCTCTACAGCCACTGATGTGTTTTTTGTTGGTCCACATCTGCTTTTTTCGTTCTTTTTAAGTATTTATCATGTAAAGCCTTGTATTCTCATTTTTTGTGATTTTATTTGGTCAAGTTGTTAGTCTTTCTGTTTTAGTCGTTTAGCGTAGATGGTATTCCATTCGTTTTTGGTTGGTAGAATTTCAGGTATATTAAGCAGTTCCTTGAAGAGTGCAGCTTCTTTGTTGATGCTACGTGTTTATTGTTTTACTATATATAGAAGGGAGTCATTGTTTTTGTGAAGTATGCTTACAATCCAGTCCAAGGAGAAATTTGTATCACTACCACAAAATCCATTATATATATTTGGAAATATCTACTCTTTGCTTGATAAAAACTGGTGATAAGTGTTTATATACCTATAAATATATAGAGAGATATAAACGCTTATCATCAGTCCAAGAAGGACATTTGAATCACTACCACGCAAAACTTCATTTTTAAATATCTAGTCTTTGCTTGAAGAGGGTTGCGAAACCAGAAACACGTGTAGCAGAATTATGGAAACTAGACTATAATATATATTTTAAAATAAGAAAATCCACATTCCAACGAAAAACTTTAGCAGTTTATCTTCTTTTCAATATATATATATATATATATATATATATATATATATATATATATATATATATATATATATATATTATTTGGTTGGATAGATGTGAGTTTGTGACCTGGGTTTTTAGCTTTTGTCAGACAATTTGTTTGACGATCGCTGAAACCCAGGGTCACAAACTCACATCTATCCAACCAAATATGTATTGAGCGCTTTCTAATAAGTACCGCACATATAATATATAAATAATTATACATATATATATTTATTTATATTTATACACTTTCTATATATATATATATATATATACCAAAGTATATAATTGGTATACACGGAATGAATTCCAATAACCAACAATTACTATTCTTAAAAAGAGTGCTCAATAAAAGTAGAGCAGATATAATTATTTTTATAAAAAATTTATAACATAAGTATTATAAAATCACTACAAAAATAGCCATTTTTTATCTGTGTCTTATCATATATATTGAAAAGAAAATAAATAGTTTTAAAAGTTTATATAACGATCCTTTCACACACACACACAAAACACACACACAAAAGCACAACAAAATCCTGCTATATATATTTTATAAATATATATATAAAAATAATTTTATATAAAATTATAAAGCAGCTAAAATTTAATATTAAAAATTAAAAACTGGGTTTTTTAAAATGTTTAATCAAATTAGTTTAAAACTGATAATATGTTTTTATTCGTTCAATTAAAATTACGTCGATAAGAAAAAAGTAGTCATCTGATAATACATGGTTTTTATTTTTTATATATAAATCGAAAAGGAGATGGGTTATGAGAAATTAGCTGGGATAACGTTAAAAGATAGAAAGTAGTCAATATGGATAAGGAAGAGGAGAAGATAACAGAAATCATAGAAATGTTAAAGACATGATGGAAGTAATTATTATAAGAAAAAACGTAGACTTAATTGAGATAGTATGGAGTGATAACGGTAAGATAAGTAATGAAAGTGTTTAAATTATTACAGAAGTGGTTAAAATTAGCTATTATAGATGTGATTAAGATAAAAGATATTATAGAAGTAATGGCGATAGAGCAGTGATTCAGATAAGAAATCATAAAAGTGATTAGAATAAGAATGATTAAGTTTAGATATTATTGAGGGATTACGAGATGTTACAAAGGTGATTAACATAAAATAGAAAAGTAATTCAGATATTATAAAAATAATTAAGATAATATAGTAATATTTAACATATTGTAGAAAGTATTAAGATATTATAAAAGTAATTAAGATAATATAATAGTATTTAACATATTATAGTGTGTATTAAGATATTATAGAAGTAATTAATATAATATAGTAGTATTTAACATATTATAGTGTGTATTAAGATATTATAGAAGTAATTAAGATAATATAGTAGTATTTAACATATTATAGTGTGTATTAAGATATTATAGAATTAAGATAATATAAGATTTAATATTATAGTAGTATTTAACATATTAATAGTAGTATTTAACATATTATAGTGTATTAAGATATTATAAAGAATTAAGATAATATAGTAGTATTTAACATATTATAGAGTGTATTAAGATATTATAGAAGTAATTAAGATAATATAATAGTATTTAACATGTAATGTATCGGAATGAGAACTTGAAGAACCGAGGTCGAATTCCAGGGGTGTTCGTTGCATTTATTACTTACATGCAAGTATGAATCCATCTATTCCCCCTGCAGCTATGGATTGAATAGCAGAACAGACTGGATCCTATAGGTAGTGTATGCTAACCAGTCTATTACAGAAAGAAATGGCAACCTACTACAGGAAAATCTTTGGTCTAGTCAGTCAAGAATCGAAAGAGACATGATTGCCCAAACAGGCATCACGTATGGCACTTAGTAGACAGAGAAGTGAGTAAGACACACGATAACATAGAAGTGATTATAATATGAGGTAACATGGAGATAATTAAGATATAGCGGGATTAAGTTTAGATATTATGGAGTGATTAACATAAGATATATCACAAATGTAATTAAGATATTACACGCACACATATGTGTACGAATTTTTGCTTCTCCCTACTGCATATTTATATGCATATTTGCAATATGTATCTAAGTAGCAAATTTTCCTTCTAACAAATTTTGTTAAAGATAAAGTTATATCTACTGTATATTTAATAATTCTTTTCTCATTAGCAGATTATTTTTTCTTATCTTGGAACCTAAAACGGAATCAAATCTGAAAACAAAAAATAATTGAGGATATAACAGATATTAACAAAACTTATTTAGATAGATAGATAGATAGATAGATAGATAGATAGATAGATAGATAGATAGATAGATAGATAGATTATTGTTTTTGCTTGTTTGGCTTTTGTTTAGTCTAGCCCGAAATACTCTTAAATAAGGACAAGATTTAATCACTGTTGTTCGTGATCTGTACACTTCGTTCTTATTGAAAATAACATTTACCACATTTTTTTAATGGCGTCCATGCTGTGAGCGATCATATTGTTTTAAGATAATACTTAAACCATTATCTAACATTTGAAGAGAAATGAAGATCATGTTTTCATCTGTCATGGAAATATTAGCAATTGATGTAAACCGTGACATTACATGCCAGTTTCCTTCAGCAAATATATCAAAGCTTTAATAATGACATTATAAATATAGTTATAACACGACTGGTACGGAAAAATTGATTTTGCTTGCAGTTAAGTGACTCTGCATTTTAATTCGACGAGAATTTTTGTCATTTCTCACGAATACCCACTGAATTTATTACTGCTTCTCATCATTTCTGTTTAATTATAGTCGTTTTATACATTGAATTAAATATTTTTGAAATTTAAGCTATATTTTCTCGAAACAAATTTCGACGTTCCGCGTATTAATAATGATGAAAAAATGTCATTAATTGGAAATTAATTGGAAGTGTTATTGACAGGATATGAGGATTATATATATATATATATATATATATATATATATATATATATATATATATATATATATATGTCATTCGCAGACAGTACTGTTTCGCTGTATCACACCTCATCAGTGCGACTAGATATGATATCCGAAATGCCTCAACCCAGGATTGAATCCCAAAGAATTTGGTGTCATTCAGAGTTTCTACCACTATATATATATATATATATATATATATATATATATATATATATATATATATATATATATATATATGACAAAGTGAACAAAATATGTTTGAAAAAATTTACTTGACGTAAACAAAAGTTTGTTTCAAAAGTAAACATAAACTTAATCCGATGAATCCTAAAGGACGAAACGCATCATACAAACACATTTTCGATTTTGGCATACATCTTTTTCCCTAAATTGTTCTTGATATATAGAATGTACGTATATATATATATATATATATATATATATATATATATATATATATATATATATATATATATATATATATACTATAATATATTCAACTATAGTGAAGCTGGCAATAAAAGTGTTCAATCCTAGGTAGAAATTTGAACTTGACCTGTTGATTCTTCAATTCGTGGGTGAAACTTGAGTTTCACTTGTTTTACTTTTAATTCTGCACTTTTTTTTATATATATATATATATATATATATATATATATATATATAAAGTGAACATAGAAGTCAAGACTTAGTGGAAACAGTCTGTTTCATGCTAGGTTCAATCGTGGCCTGACGATTGCATATAGCATGAGACAGACTGTCGCCTCTAAGCGTTGACATCTATGTTCACTTTTATATTTACATACGCTCTATCTCTGATATTGAGCACATTACCCCATAAATATAGCCCATCTTAAAACTATATTTCTTCATATATATATATATATATATATATATATATATATATATATATATATATATATATATATATATATATATATAAACATATAGAAAACACATAGAAAATCCATAGGTAGGTGAATAAATGGTGACCAGGTATTAAAGAAGGATTTACTAATAGAATAATCCTAGTATATATAAATAATCCTAGTATATATAGATAATAGAAATTATTTCATATTAATTCCTACTAGTCCAGTTTTTTTTATCATCAGCATCACAGGTGAGCATTAAGATTTATCTTTTATTAAAAGGACATATCTTTCACTAGATGCTCTTATACTAAATTTGAGCTTAGTGTAGCTAGATATCCATTCGATAAAAACAAAAAACAAAGACGATATAATGACAAATCTTTCTTTTTATTAAATTGCTATATACTTGCATTTAACCACGCCGAAGCGTCTAAGTTTTCACCTTCAAAATGTAAAATTTATGAAAATAGTTTCCAATAAGAAATAATTTTAAAGAATTTGAGGAAGAATATTTTACCCCCAAAACAGTCATTCATAAATATCAGGAATATTTTTTAACCAAACATATAGAAACAAATTAACCATTCTTTGAAATTTATGTTGATTTACTTTCTGTGTTTGTAGAATAAATGATTTTTTTCTAAAACATAAAGGAACAAACAAATATTTCCACTAATTGAGCAAAAAAAAAAAAAAAAAAAAAAAAAACAGAAAAAGATATATAAAGAGAAGAAGTGGGAGAGATAGTGAGATAAAGAGAGAGTGGTGAGAGAGTGCCAAACAGAGAGGAGAAGAAATAGGTTTAAAAAGACTTAAAAAGGGCCTTAAAAACTGGGTGCTGAAACAGAGAAAGAGGAGATAATGAGAAAAAGAGAGAAAGAGAGGGATAAAGAGAGAGGAAACAATTGAGCAAAAGTAAAGGAATATTCCATGATATCCTCAGCATCTTTCTGTAGAACCACATTTCTGTTACTTTATATCTCTTTTTCATCTTTGAGGGGATTGTCTAGCATTCATTGCCATATAGAACAGATGTGACATGACAGTACAACACTCTTTTCTTTGTTTCTAACGAAGTTTTTTTTCTGTTTCTTAATACTCTGCTCATCTCTTGAAAGCATCTCTAGTCATTCCAATGCGTCTTCGGATTTCAATGTCGTACTTTCTGTCTTCTCCCACGACAAAAGATCAGGAAAAGAGAGAGAAAAGAAGACAGCACGTGACATACTTGAAGAGATCGATAGTAGAACAGGGTCTGGAAGAAATAACAAAAAGAGAAAAATTATTATGAATTATACGAGACAGGAAGATGTGGAGGGCCATGATCGCTTACGTCTTTCATAAAAAAAAAAGACGAAAGAAATAGTCGTAAGAAAGAGTTTAAAAAAAGAATTAAACGACTGAAAAAATCGGCACGTTTGAAGAGGGCCTAAAATAGAGAGAGGGGGGGAATAAAGAGAGAGGGAGTGATAGAGAGATAGAAAGAGAGAGGGAAAATGATAGAAGAAATAATAGGGAGAGAGAAACGAAACAGTTTTAAAAAACAGTTTAAAAGAAAAGGTACTTAAAGAAAGATATGCAATGGGACCTGAAATAAAGAGAAAAAGGGAAAAAAGTAATGAATAGGGCGAGAGAGGGAGATAAAGAGAGAGGAAGTAGTTAGAAGAAAGAAAAGAAACAGTTGTAAGAAAGAGCAAAAAACAAAAAAAAAAGGAATTGAAAGACAAAAAAAGTACATGTAACGGAGCTTGAAATAGAGAGAGAAATGTGAGGGTGGAGAGAAATAAACGAAAAGAGACAGAGAAAAACAGAGAGAAAACAATTAGAGAAAGGAAAAGTAATAGAGAAAAAAAAAGAGAAATATAACAAGGAACGAAGTCGGAGTGGGCAATAGGGAGAAAAATAGTGACAGGAAGAGGGAATAGTAGAGAGGGGAATGAGTAAAGCTTGGTGAAAAAGATGATGATATTTTCTTTCATCCGTCTTCTCTGCTGCCATCATTATAACAAAAATGAGAAAATCTGGCGCTAAGTGATTTTAACACTCATGTAAACGAAACAAAAACAAAGAAAAAAGAACAATTTCTTATGTCGAAAGATAAACTCAGCCTTTCGTAAGATTAAAATATATAAAAAAAAAATCAACACAAATTTGAAACGTTTCCTATTCAAAAACCGTAAACACGAGAAAATATGAGTCCTTAGACGTTGGTTGTTGAGTGATAGAAAATTCTTTACGGAAGAACGGTCAAATTTGTGTTCGCAACGAACAGAAGATGCTCCAGAAAGCAAAGCGAAGTTTTTAAAATTTTAAAATAAAACATAAACACACTAAGAATAAAAAAAAATATCTCTTTTCAGTCTAAAAAGAGTGAAAAGTACGCAAACAGATAGATGCAGTTTGAAGAGAGACAACAAATTAATTTTACTATAGTGCACGGTAGAACATAAAGCGAGGAGAACGAAAAACGAGGAAATCAATTGTTACCACAATATTTTTAATATATACATTTTTTTTTATCTCGCCTGTGTATATATGTAAAAAATCTTCAATATAGCTGTGATAAAAAAAAATATGAGAAACAAATCAAGCATCTCCCAAATATATGTCTTGAAAAACATCAGAAATTCATTATCCAGGACAAGATAATGAAATCAAGTTGGGAAGAAATGCAAGATGAGAAAAGGGAGACAACCAACAGTTTTTAGAGAAACGTTACAATAACAAACGTGGCACCAAGCACGCAATGTTAAAAGAGTGAAATAGAAGTTTTTATTTATATATATATATATATATATATATATATATATATATATATATATATATATATATATATATATATATATATATATATGGGGGAGTTTTGTGTGTGTGAATAAAAATTCAGATATAACTAAAAATATGAATAATTATCATCGCATAGCAATCTTTTATGTCAACATAACAGAATATCATTTTTAATGGTCAATATCTTTGTTTTAATGTCCATATAACCACTCTGAAAACGGCTTATGCTTGTTGGCCGAAACGTTAGATCAAGGAACAGCTAATAAAAAAGATCCAAATGTTGGACAATTTTTGTCTTTATTTTCACCCAAAATTAAAGCAATAATACGAAGTTTAGAAAGGATCATGATGAAGTATAATAGACATTCATTGTCTGTTATATTTAACAATACATACATATATATATATATATATATATATATATATATATATATATATATATATATATATATATATATAAAAAAAAAAAAACAAATACCAAATGGCTATAACACACACACACATTCATTCATACAAATATATATATTTCTCATTACGATAAACGTTATATAGTTTGTTTATATGTGTCTTCTGAGTAGACATACCATTTTGTTTAAAAGAACGAAAATGATATCTACCAGACCTGGGTAATCGGAAAAAAATATTAAAGAAAATATGCCTCTTTTCAATGAGACTTTATCTTGCTATGACCAGTAGATGCCAATTTCATTGTTTAGAAAAATAAGTAAATCTACGCATGTAGCCACTAAACACAACGTTCCTAGTCGTAAGAAATAATATCGGGTTTTAAAAAATTACTTGAGTGCTTATATATATATATATATATATATATATATATATATATATATATATATATATATGCGGTACTGGTGTTATAAAAAGAAAACTACAACACGTATCAAGTCGGCTTTTATTTCCTTCCAAGTATTTCTCTTCTGAAGCTGCACGCCTTATCCAGCGTCCTTTCCAATGGAGGAAGCATTCCTGAAACTCATTTTTTGGGGGACAGCGAGTAGCTGCCTCATCATATTCTCTTTGACTTACGCAACGTCTTAAAAACCTTGTTTATTCCTAGTGGGATTCGATTTTTGGAAAGAGGTAAACGTTGCCATGGGCGAGACCTCAGGAATATGGTAGTTGTCCAACCTGGTTAATATTGTGCTTGGCCAAAATCTGCAGCACAAGCCATGGTCACTGATGGAACCTCTGTAGTGTGATGAGACGACGATACTCTACACATTTTCCTTCCAAGCACAGCTATAAACAACGGAAGTGAGTAAGAACGTTATAACTTAATATGTATGCGCGTTAGAATTCGCGCTCAATCTGTAAGAGGCGGCTTTACTCTGCGTACTTTAGCTCCGTTACATAGCAACAATCCCGAAACCTTTCGATCATACTTCCTATATATATATATATTAGAAAAATCTATGACAATGTTTAAAAACTATTTTGGCGACGGGCTTAGTCCTTGAGGACTTCGTCGGACTAAAGTGATTACGCATGTACATGCAAAAGATGGGACTCTGAAATTTTAAATTAAATGTTTTTTAATACGTGTTTTGAGTATATAGTCTAGTTAATTTCATTTACTTTCTTGTTCTTTTTTATATGTTTTTTTTCTAACGATTAAAGCACCTCCTATATACTTTCGTTTTAGTAAATTAGAGTAATATTAATTTTAAATCAAAATTATGGTCAGAATTATTACGGTAAATATCTAATGCATTGAGTGTCTTGTTTTGTAAAAGAACACTTTTGAGTTCATATAATCTTTTATTTAAATTCCTTGAAGTTTCTCCTATGCATTTCTTATGGCAATCATTACAGATGACAGAGTAAATTCCTCCTTCAAGTTTTAGCTTATTATTATTTTGTTTTGTGTTGAGCATTTTATTGTTTTATAAGTAGTTTAACAAATTTTACGTTACACCTAAATATCTTATTTCAATTGTAGTTGTGAGAGACTTGGTTGGTATAATAATATATTTTGATTAGTTAGATTTGTTAGAATAGTCCCCTCTTTTAATTATAAATATTTTACGAGCATTTTGTTTCGCATTGAATATAAAATAATTAGGGTATTGTAAAAGCATATTCAATGTATTTCCTCTATTCATATGAATATTGTATTGATGGCTAAAAAACCTTTTTTCCATTTTGTCTTAGATTCGCCTAAATTTTTTCTGATATATAAAGAATTATATAACGTTTTCCCATATATATATATATATATATATATATATACGCGAGAAAGGAAGAAAATTATGCGCATACAGTTATCTATATATATATATATATATATATATATATATATATATATATATATATATATGTGTGTGTGTGTGTGTGTGTGTGTATGTATGTATGTATGTATAGGTAGTAATTCGTTGGTATAATTCAGGCGAGTAACAGTAAACTACAAACAACAAAAACAGTTTGGAAAATCCTTCGAATTTTAAAATTAAAATTCGTAGGTGAAAAACGGTCATTACTAAAGGTAACTTAATTCCAATTGTAAAGTATATATATATATATATATATATATATATATATATATATATATATATATATATATATATATATACACTGTGTTTGAATATCCTGCTCTTGAACGTTACAGAATATTCATGAACATAAGGTGACAAGTGTCTTTCGTGCTGAAATGTGAAAAAATGCTGTGTCAATTCCTAACTCGAATTTTTTAATAGAAAGATGTGGCACCTTCTGGGAGACATTCAATGATGTTCCTTCCTGAGCATGGTCAAAGTTTGCTTTTGAATAATCGACAAATCTTGGCCGAAAGTATTGCTTCGGCACACGGGATATTAAGGGAATTCGTTAAGTTTATAAGTGCTGCACGCTGGGGGAGGCACTAGATGAAATCTAAATGTGTAACAAAATATATTGAGCAGACACAGATGATTCTGTGAAATGAAACGTATTTATAACACAATGATCCAGAGACTTAAACAACAACCCATGTTGTGGCAGTTTTTAAGGTTCTCAATACTGAAAAGATATCATTTTGAGCCTTTTCGCAAATGGATAGACATAAAGCAACATCTTTGTGTCCTGTTCTCTTTCTAGATATATTAACGTTTCTCGTTCCTGGCATGTCATGATAGCCGGTGAAACTGTGGCGGTATTCAAGAGCCGGATAAATTCAAAACCCAAATTCAACAGAAAAGTGTTGTAAATACGGAAGGTTGAATTTCTCTTGTTGGGCAAAAACAGTTATTACAGATTTACTAATTTAATTTGCTGTGCTGATTAAAGGAAACGTTGAAATTAAAATGGCGGGGAGGATTTGAGAATAGGTGTTCTTTTTTTTGCAGGACAATGTACCTGTTTACAGGGCAAGTTAGTCGATGAATTATTTGAAGAATTTTGGATTCGAATGCATAGGCAATTCACTCAGCTCGCTAGATTTTGTTCTTTCTCATTAGTTCCATTTTGCCAAACATAAAAATAGTTTGAAAAGAAATAAATGTTCAAGAGATTTAAACGTAATAGCAAAGTACTATTGCACACAGCAGATTATGATGAAACGATTTACAGAGACTTTTGAAATGGTTTATCAAGTGTCGAAGTGTAAACATATATCAAAGAAAGAGAGATGATTTCCTTAGGCGATATTGTAATTGGCTTATCGTTCTGGTCATTTACTAAAGCTACCGGCGGAAAATGTCCGAACCAAGTAAAAGTTAAGATTTTACTTACTGATCTTTTAAGGTTTAGCAGAACATTTCTACTTTCGGTTTAATAAACCACACAATCTTCCTACTCACTATTTGATTCTGTTCTTTATTAAGCTAGGCTAATACCGTGTAATCATTTTTAGGTCTTAAAAAACGGAATCGGCAAACCAAGCTGAAATTCCAGCCGTAGGTGCTTATACCCATCATGCATGGCCCAGGGTCCTATTCCATTTCTAGATATATTAACGTTTCCCGTCTCTGACATGTCACGATAGCCGATGAAAGAGAGAAACACTTAAACGAGCATTGGAATAAACTTTCATAGTAACCTCACCAAGGAGTTAATTTTGAAAAAAACAAACAAACAAAAAAAAACACGAAATCTCTTACTTGTAACATAAATCTTGATAGGAAACATTAATTTCTCAATGTTCATTTAGTAATCAAATCATAAGTAGGTACACTTATGAGTGACATTATTATTAAACAGTGTCTACTCTAACATCGGTA